AATACACCACAAATGTACTCAATATCTCATACAATATTTACTCTATTCTATGAGTTCTCAAACTATTTATAATAAATTAAATTTATATCTTAACTCATAATTCTTTGAATGTATTAATAATACTAGAAACGCAAAGAATTGAGACTTAGTTTTATAAAAATGGATACAAAAAAATGATAGCAAAATAGAGACAACTTTATTAGAAATAATAATTTTTTAATACAAATATTGAGAGAAATTTTGTGAATTCTTGAGTAAAAGAATAGCGAAAAGACTCGTTTGAATGTCTGATTGATTGGCCTCTGAATATGTCTCACAATCCCTATCCTGAAGCCTTTCCTTTCCTCACAACCCACGGGTGTTTGAGCAGCTCCTGGATAGTGATGCGACTCCTGTCGCTCTCATCCCAACACTTGTACTGAAGGTCTTTGAGGTCAGCCGAGAACTCTTTGGTGAAGCGGCCGTCGATGTACTTCCTGTCGGTCTGTTCCTTCAGCATTGCCTTAGGATTTGCGAAATGAAAGGGAAACTTGTTGTTAAGCATACAAAACAGGACGACACCCATAGCCCACATGTCGGCCGCGAACGGGTTGTACTCCTTTTTGGCCACAATTTGCGGCGAATAGTAGGGTTCGGTTCCGCAGAAGGTCTTCGAGAGCTTCGGCTTACCGGTCGACTCGTCCCACGACTCCTTCGCGAAGCCGAAGTCCGTGAGCTTCGCCTGTTGGGCCTCATTGAGCATTACGTTATCCACTTTGATGTCCCGGTGCGCCATATGGAGCGTCTCGTGGAGGAACTTCAGGGCTTCCGAGGTCTGTGCGAACCAATAGCCGGTCTTCTCCTCACTGATGGGGCCGTGTTTCTGGAGATACGCCGCGATATCACCGCCGCCGCAGAACTCCATAAATATATACATCTTATGGTTGGCGCGGATGATGTCGTATATCTGACAGGCGTTCTCGTGCTTCATGCCTATAAGGGCGGCCAACTCGCGCGGCAGGAACTTCTCCTTAAACTTTTCGCCCACTTTCTCCAAATCCATCACTTTCACGGCCACCAACTCGTCGTTTCTGGTGTTTCGAGCTTTGTATACCTGTCCGAAGGCTCCCTGTGCTAACTTCTTCTCCAGCTTATAGCCCTTCTTCTTGAACACCGCCTCAGTCTTGGGGTCCAAGTCGATGGACGAGTCCTTGCCTTTGTCTTCGCCGCCCATTCTTTTGTCTCTCAATCGATGCAATCAATGAATACTTTGTCCGATGGATTGCTTGTAACGGATATTCAATGACTGATTTGTATTGTATTTCAAATTCAACTGATTATTGATTTAATGATTTAATTATTCCATGTTTTATAGCTACAGGTATTATATTCTCGTGATTCAACCCAATGTTAATTAAATGAATTAAATAGTGAAATAAGTTGTGTATTGAATTGAGACTTTCGTGATGAACACCTCCTACCCCCTGACCTACAATAACCTCCCGGCCATAGCCTTCCCCGCCGTTTCCTCTCCGTGAATAAGAAATTAAAATTAAATAAAGATTAGAGGAACTGGATGTAAGAGTTTAGTGGTTAGTATTGTACTATAATTACATACAAACCCGGATTCAATTAACTATCAATTTTTAGGCTTTATTTGGCTTTAGTTTGAATTCATTTAATTGATTAATAAATTGCAATTTGAATACAAAATCATTTTATTGTGTTTTAAGTAATGCTATAATCATTGAAATACTAATAATAATAATCATAACATTTATAGAAATTTAGACACAATTTAGTGACAGAAAGAGATGATAATTAAAACATGGGATCTCTTTCTGTGGGACTAAGAGTGGGAGAAGTGGTGGCACTCTTGGACTTCATTCGGAAGGAATCGCTTGAATGGCTACAAGTGCTGAATGAGATGCCAGTGGACGGGGAGGAAGGGCTGCCTGAAGATGAATAGGACGACGGTTTGGCGAAGTAAGTCGAGTCCTGGGACTTATCGCTGTCTTTAGAGCCGATCTTTCCGTCAACACATGAGGACTCCTTCAGGACATCTGTTGCATCACTTGTGGCACTGCTTTCGGTGATCACAGAATCCATGAGACAATCAGTTGTCGAGTCCAGCAATTGGCCACTCATTTGGTGCGAGTCTTCGTCCTCTCCTTCAGTCTCTTTACGACATCTTTTGCATCACTTGTGGCACTGCTTTCGGTGATCACAGAATCCATGAGACAATCAGTTGTCGAGTCCAGCAATTGGCCACTCATTTGGTGCGAGTCTTCGTCCTCTCCTTCAGTCTCTTTACGAGTGGTCGGACTCTTAGACTTCATTACAGGGGAATCGCTTGAAAGACTACAAGTGCTGAAGTCTGTGTCAGTGGACGGGGAGGAAGGGCTGCCGAAAGAGCCTTCATCTGTTGGAGAAACAGTATTCCAGAGGCCGACCCCTTCCGTCTCTTTAGTCCATCGAATTGTCGATTTGATTGCCATTTGACTCGAGAGTCCTTTCACTTTCTCTTCAATCACATCCACTTCGATGGCCTCTGAAGAGACGCTGGAAGTGGAGGGAGAAGTCGTCTGTTGTGGAGTCACCTGTTCTTCAGTCTGTTGTTCATTGGGCTCATCGATGGTCTCTGTCTTTGAATGCCTGTCCGCCTGAGAATTCTGAGGCGACTGATCCATGGGTTCACTCTTGCGATCTTTGCTGCCACAACAGCCCATTGTTACCACTCTTGGGAACAAATACAGACAATACGGATAAGAAGTTTGCAAACGGATTTATCGATTGATTTTGAATTTGAGACTCAATTTGAGGAGTAATTGAATGATCGCGCGATCGGTGTCTCAAACGTCAAACAAGTCTACAGTTTTGTCGCAAACTTTTTTCAACACAAGGTTTGTCTCATTGAGTGCTTTTCAATGAGTTATGATAATTGAAAACTTCTTTCGAGAGTCGGATATAAATTATATGATATAACCATTTGATTAATTAATCAATAATTAACATTAACATTAATAGGTTTATATTCAAGATCATTAAACTTTAAGCACTGGTATGTCTGCACCAGAATACATGTACAAAAATTTGATTTAAATTAAAAATAAATATTAAATATAAACCAAATTTATATCATTTCCAAATCCTTTGCAAATAATTTCTAATTTATTAATTATTGAAATGTGTGCATGGTAATATATCTACGGTATTTATTATAGAATTAATTTGTTTAAGAATAATTTTATTTAAAGTTAATTTAATTAAATTACAAAAACTTTATTTCAATATAAATACAATAACTTAACGCCAAAAATAAGTACAAATCTTAAACCAAACGCTAATTCACTCCAAATTCATGTCTGAAACGCTTTAATCAATTTATGGATCCGTTTATCGTTGCCATCAGTACCCGCGTTATTGTCGAGGAACGACACTAATGTCTCGTACGCTATGGACAGCCTATAGCTATGCAACGCCTGAATCACCGAAGGCTGACACTTGCCATTCAACAGAACCGTTGCCACAATCTTCTGGAACAGATTCGCGTGACTGTTCAACACATATATCAGAATCGATATCATCGCCACTACCGGTCCACTCGCTATGCCTGGCCTATCAGTGCCGGCCATAGCGTTGAACAGTAATACAGTGGATGGCATCGACCGGTCCATCGCTTTCCGGAGCTCCGATACCCTCAACGAGTCGACCGAATGCGACATTTTTGTCACTTCACTACTTCCGGCCAAACACTCGCGCGATATATGTCGGGCCACCTCTCGTACGGCCACCACTCGAGCGCCGGTATCCTGGAGTAGGGCTCTCATCACTCCCTCGTAGTAGTGATCATAGAGTGCGGACACCACTCGACGGTCGGTCTCCGACTCAAAGGCCGACAAAATTGTCTCACATTTCACACCATTTGTCTCAACACACGCGGACTCACTCTTGTGGCCATTGTTTGCTTTCTTCGGTTTCTTTCGGCGAACTTTTGGTGACTTATTTGGCATTTGTGTCGCTCCGGAAGTTTGACTTCGAGTTTGTCGGCGATTATCTTCGGCTATGGGTTCTGATGGTTGTGTCGAATCAGATGGTGTTTGCCATTCACTTTCCATCACCTCTTCGTTCAGGTCTTCACTGGATTTACGCTTTTTGGACATCACTTCCAACTCCGGCTCATTACTTGCCATGTCTTCACTGCATTCGCCAATAGGTTCTGTGATTATGGCAACTGATGGACAGACAGACAGATAATTAATTCTTCAACTCATACCTCCTTTTCATTGTTTACAGTATTTATCATTAATTTAATCATAAATTAAAAGATAATCAAAACGATGGCATACTTTGATTGCATTCCTCATTGAGATCCGAGTCTTGAATAATAAGTCCTATTCATAGAGATAACAGACAATTAAAAGCACATGAATGTGACAACCGGTGATCACCAGCTGATCCAATGGGTGACACTAACCGTGAATAGTAATCGTTTGGTCCATCACTGGCTTATGATCGCCGGAGTGCTCGCAGTTGTCATCATCGAGAGTGCGGACGAGTATCGCGAGCGGGCAGTCCTGGAACTGGCGGTAAAAGTGTGTCAACAGATCCAACTTCTTGTCCATATTATCAACAGTGCGTTCGCATCGACGACAACACCAATTGCTGGGCAGTCGGCACTCAACCAACTCTTTGGTGATCACTCCGTGACAGTCGCTATCGTGGCCATCGGTGGCGGACATGCCTTTGCGCCACAAACTCATGAGTCGCTGCAACTGTCGGACCACTTTAGACACGCCGTTGTCCTCTCTGTGGAGGTTGTGGTGGCCGTCGACGCGGAACAGTAGCCGCCGATTGCCTAACGAACCGCTGATGTCGTCCCCACACATACAACACGTGACGGTATCTCTTGGAGTCGATCGACTCGACTCAACACTTGTGCCAATCGGTGGCCACATATCTGCCATTGTTTTCAGCGAAGATAATGAGTGGATGTGTTTGGCGGTGATGTCTGTCAAAGCAATCCCTCAACCCTTACATCACAATTGGTTCCCCACAACAACCCACAGATGGCAACCAATTATCACCGCTTGTATTGGCGCACAATTCAAGACTCTTGTGCCACGGAATCACTCACTCGTGAGTTGTAAAACATTTTATTGGTTAACAGTTTTTATATAAATCATTATAAATATATTAATAATATATAAATGGGTTAACAATTCAGAAGAGAGTCGTCATCGGCGGTGCAGTCATTGTCTCATTGGTGTCATTAGTGTCACAATCGGTGATAATGAAGCCCTGACTCTGGAGTTGTTGTATAAGATTTGTGTCCAATTGGCAGATGAGTTGCGAGAACAGTGTGTTGTCCATCTGGTACGACATATTGGATCCGTTGGTCACCATCTGATTGCCAGCGCCAGTGGTGGACAACGCGATCATTATATCGCCGCCAATCAACTGACTCTCTTCTGGAACTAATTGGCGATCAAATCAATTGTCAGATAATAGCAGATAAATAGAAAATTATCTAAAAGACAATTACCGGAAATCTCTGGAGGGGTGCTGTTGTTATCGATCACCACTTTGGTTACCATTTGTTGCACTGGCTGTTGGGACGTCTCGACTACCGGTGCTGTAGAGGTGACCCGATTCTTGTTGTGTTTGGCAATGTGTCCCTTTCGGTGTCCAGACGTCCGAAACCGTTCGCCGCACTCCTGACACTCGAATGGCTTAAGACCTAAACGAATGGACACCAAAATTATGTCATTAAACACAAACTAACGGCGCTCTCAACAACACCAATACCTGTGTGTAGTCTTTGATGCACTTTTAAGCTACCATTTGTGGCAAATAGTGTGTCGCACACATCGCACCGGTAGTTCTTAACGCCCGAATGGGACAGTAGGTGACAGTCGAGAGTGGACTTAACGGTAAACCGTTTGTGACATAACTCGCACTCGAAAGGACGTTCCCCGGTATGAGTGCGCCGGTGTCTCGCCAGGTCTGACGGCTTCTTAAAGGGTTTCTCACAGAAATCGCATACATTTCCCCGAATATTACCGGTGCTCTGAGTCCTTTCATTCAATGCTTCAGGAGTTCTAGTATTTGTTTGTACGACCATTTGTGCTGAACTCCCGGTGCTATCACTACTCAATAGTCGGGCCGTCTTATGGCTCATCTCCAGGTGCCTCTCGAGCGTCGCGGCTGAGCGCCAATTAGTGGGACAGTGCGGACACGTCAGTGAACTACCAGTGCGACCCTGGGAGTGCACATTAGTCACGTGTCGGCGCAGGGAGTTCTTCGAGGTGAACCCAGCCATACACCGATCGCACTGGTAGTCCTTATCGGGCACTGACTGCTCCACACACTCGATCACAGTCGTGTCGATCGGTATTATCTCATCGACGGTATTGTTATTAACAGTATTTACAGTAACAGTCGTCTCATTCATCACCACTTCATCGCTGATCACATTATCCGTGTCTTTAACGGCAATCACATCCACGGGCTCTCCGTTGCCATCCATTACAGTGACATCACTTCCAATATGAATGTCGACTTCATTATCATCACTAATCAACTGATCCGCCATCAGCTGCAACGCGAACTCATTTCGATGTAATTTAATGTGTTTTTTACAGTTAAGACTCGATTTGAAGGTTTTCTGACAATAGGGGCACATATAGGGTCTGGCATCCCGGTGCCGAGTCATGTGACGGGTTAGGGAGCCTTTGGTCGAGAATGTGGCCAAACATTCATCACATTTATAGGGTTTGATACCCGAGTGAGACTGGATGTGGATCTTAAGACTGCCTTTGGCTACAAATGTCTGGAGGCAGAGGTGACACTGGTATGGCTTCTCCCCGGTATGGGAACGGGTGTGTTGTGACAAATGGGACGACTTCTTAAAGGCTTTCGCGCAGTACTCGCACCGGAACTTCCGTTTCGGATCGTCCGACCACTGGTTCTGCTGCTGTTCATCGACACCATTGGCTCCGGGATTAACACCAGTGTCTGTACTATCAGTGCCATCAGTGACCCGCACCGGTCCCTCCAATTGGATCCTCTGTAGCAGTGATTCGTTCAAACATTTCCGGCGTTTTGACCGCAAAATACTGTTCCCTTTGGGCGCCCGCCTTCCACTCGACACAGTAGGCGTTCCGGATGTCTGCGCCTGTCGTTTATGGCTCCCGGAATGAGCTCTCATTGAACTCAACGTACGGAATGTCCGCTCACATTGCGGGCACTTATAGGGTTGAGCGCCGGTATGTAGCCTCTGGTGAACTTTCAGCGCCTGACTTGTAGTAAAGGACTTATTGCATGCATCGCACGAGTAGGGCCTCACGCCGGCACCGGTATGCGTGCGCACGTGTGCAGTGAGCGTACCTTTCACACGGAACGCCCTAAAACATTCGGTGCACTTAAACGGCTTAACCCGGGTATGTATGCGCACGTGACGGACCAAATCCGATGTCTTACGGAACTCGCGCCGACAGTACAGACACTGGCGGTAAACAACGGCCCCTACACGTCGTAATATATGAGTTTGTCGGGCACCAGTAGCCGGGTCATACGCCTGTGCCACACGCTTATCACAATCATCAGTTCCGGTGCCGTTACCGTCAATTTTAGCGCCTGTATTGTCGGTTACGCCACTATTTTCCAGTGCTTTACTCAATATACAGGTTTGGTCTCCCAAACCGTTATCCGTTTCTGCACTCAAAGCCAACTGTCCACTAGTTTTAAGACTACCGGCGCCGTTGGTGACCTCTGAGTCTTGACGGACAAGTAGTGTGTTTGAGACATCCGGCGGAATGGGATTCTGGAGGTCGACCTCCGCGTCCGGTTGGGCGCAGGGATGTCGTCGACTGATATGACAGTTCAGAATACCGACCCTTCGGAACACACACTCACAGTGGGGACAGTTGTACAGCTGTTCGGCCGGTATGTCTACTTGCGGGGCGTGTAGGCGCTCGATATGAGACCTCATGTTCCCGCTCTGCGCAAACCTAACCCCGCAGAACCGGCACTGGTATCTCTTGTCATCGGTATGTTTGCAGCGCCGGTGTGTGTCCAACGAGTTCTTCTGATTGAATGCCTGTCCGCACACTTCACACACGTATGGCTTCTCTCCCGTATGAATACGTAAGTGACGCACGAGTTGACTGTTTTTAGCGAAACTCTTACTACAGGTGTGGCACTCGTGTCGGAACGTCGACCTATCGATGTCCGACCTATACGTCCGGTGCTTTAGGGAAGACCTGATCTTTGAGTGCAGTTTCTGGTGTTCTCTGAGTGCGGAACTGTTGGTAAATGTCTGATGACATACAGAACAGGATAGACAACGGATTTTGGTGGTGTTGTCGGCGCCGCTTAACACACCTCTGGCCACAGCACCGGACCCTTTGGTGGCCGACCTCTTAAAGCCATTCAAGTGGACACTCTTCATGTGTTTATTGAGATAATAATGGGTCGCAAACTGTTGCGAACACTGACCACAACTCAAGAGTTCGTCCTTTTGGTGGACAATCAGATGGGACTTAAGGGAAGCCAATCGTGTGAAGCACTTCTTGCACTCAGAACAGGTAGGCTTTCCATTATCGTCAGCCTTATAGTGTTGAGCACTGGTATGCAATCGAAGGTTAATCTCAAAGTTAAAACTCTCGGCACAATCACCGCATTTGTAGGGTTTGTCTTCGGCGTGCGTTTTCTGGATGTGTCGCCGAATGTCTGCCAATCGATCCGTTTTATGGCAGCAATAGTTGCACTGAAATGTCTGCGAATCAGTTCGGGTGATGTCTGCGGTGTCCCAACTGATGACAACCTCTTCATCGGCGGCTAAAACGGCTGTAATTTCTGTTGTCTTTGCGGACACTATTTTCGGAACCGCTTTAGTTCGCCGAAGACTTTTTTTCACCACTTTTTGCTGTTTAGGAACCGCTTCGATGGAGTTATCTTCGGTGGTAAAAGTGTGTCCACCGGTGGACAGCAATGACATCTGATTTGGAGATCGGTTGTTAGGAATTAAGTATTGAGTGGAAGTGCTGTTGATATCCAACACATTGGTGGGTGATATAAGTGTCGTGTGCGGACCTATTGAGGTGATGGTTGTCGACTGGAATATCGGTATGAATTGGTTGGCGTTCGTGGCGTCCATTTGTATGAAAGCGGTTCCGGCGGTGATGTCCGACAAGTTTATGGCAGACATTGGCGCCGCTTTCGATGACTCTGTTTATGGCAAAGAGTTGTGTAAAACAATTGACAGACAATGAGTGGTAAGTGACAGACCGATGGACGCCATTAATGGCAGACGAAGAGCCGAAGAATTAGCGACCAATTGGTGACCACCGATGACAGCGCTGTTTGCGGCCGACGATTGTCTGAAGGCGGACACAGACATCGGGAACGAGTCGGTGATGTTTACGCTCGAAGTCATGGCGTGGACTCTAAAGACATGCAACTCTTCATTAGAGATCTTCGGACATAAACCTCTTGGAAATGATCACTCAATTCAGTCAATCAATAGTTTGTTTACCAAAACATTCATAAATAACGTGAAATAAACTTTTTATAACGTTTTCTATGAGAGACCCCTCGCATAGACAGCCCATGTGTTTGTGTTTACAAAACAAACGCCAAAAAGTCTTTGATTATCACATAATCGGCGCTCAATGGCTGGCAATCGGATCCATCGGTTCGGGACAATACTCACGCGGTATGTCATACGACATGAGAACTACTTCTGTGGAAGTTGTGGTAAAACGTGTTGTCTATAGAGTGGAAGGGCTGCTGAAGTCGGGCGCCATCGCCATCGAGAGTAAACCGATTTGGTTCGACGTCTATAAGACATTTCCTCCACATATAGAGCCCACACTCAATCGACCCCTACCTCAGGATCAGACCATTAGAGACATCGTCTACGCCGAAGACTACATCCGAGCGTAAGTGGACACCAGTGTTGGCCATCCGTGGTATTCATTGATAATGACTCGTTTCAGTCGCTTCTACGACACGTACGGATCCGTTGGACTCATCGATAGTCTGAACCAATCGCCCAAAAACTACCGAAACGTTTGCCAAACATTTATCAACAGATATGTAGAGATCGCTAGAAGTGATGGCACTCTCACTGACGACCAGTTGTTCGCGAAGACCTCGGAGGCGCTCACCAGAGATGGTATTCGACTCACGGATGGTAACCGACAGACAGTGCGAGAGGACAGGGGTTTAGACACGAGTTCTTCGCCGAGGAGTAAGCAATCGATTTCGGAGATCGCGTTATCGGACGTCTGAATAGTTTTGTTATAAATCATTAAATGATAGGTTTTTGTGTAATAATTGCCATTATGTTAGTCATTAATGTAATTATGATTAGCTTTTCATTAATACATTTGTAATGAATAGATATTTAATAAAAAAAATATTCAGAATTGTTATCACATTTTCTCGCATTTATTTAAATTTCAAATACAATCAAATCTGTTGTAAAAGCATTATCTGTGAACACAAACCAATCAAATCCGATGGCACACCACAAAGAGGTTAAGTCACCGGACAAGGGACCGGAAATAACCCTATGCCTCAAGTGTAGCGTATATTTCCTGAGCGCACAGTCCGTTATAATAGGCTTACTATTGGTTTCGCTACTAATCTACTGGTTTCAAGGGGTGGCCCCAACTAAATCTAACTCATTATACGTACCCATTAGGCACTTAGAGCTGCAATTTGTGGACAACTTCTGCATCCTGAGTGTCACCCTTTTGTTCTCATGTGTAGGTCTACTATCACTTTATGGTACATACCGTCGAAACCTACCCTTCCTTCGGATCGCACTCGTCGTCATTATTGTTAAATATTTCATACATTTCTATCTCTTCTTTACCGTCATTTTCATCAAAAGGGCTATAAATGGCATCTTTTCAGACGTTTACAGGAAGAAGTCCGGCCACGAGGATCACCTCAAACTACTGGAGCGCTATTTGTTGGCCATCAGTATATTCCCGCTACTCATAGACCTCATGCTTATGGCAAATATCAGTGACTTTAGCGATCAGTATAGAGCACAGAAAGCCTACAAAAAGCAACAAAAACTGGACCCAAATATAGGCAAATCGTCGACAACTGTCATTAGAATGGATTCCGAGGACTCTATGGCTGGTATCCTAAATGCCTCAAAACCTAGATGATTTATCCATACATTTGTTAGCAATGTATTAGTATGAGTTTTATTTATTCAACTATTTAGGAAATATATAATAAAACAATTGCTTTCAATTATTAAAACTCTGTTAAACTTTAAGTATTTGATTTCTTAAGCAATAATTATTTCTTATAATTCGTGTCATTTGATACAATTGTCATACATTTTATTTTCTAAAATAAATAAATAGTTATGTATTCAACAGTTTTATGAAACAAATTCGAGTCAATATTCAATCAAATGTTCATTAAAATGATTTTTATTGTCAAACTTAAAAACAAACTAAAAAACGTTTTTTAGTCAAAACTGAGTTATGAATGTTTGTGGCAAACAGTGTCATAGATTGGGTGGACAGTCGTGTTTGTGTGGACAGGGATGGGATCAGTTGACAGGAGGTCCCATCTTGAAGCTCATGATTTTGCCGAAGCCTCCCCTGCCGTCGTCATAGTCGGTGCGGTACTCATCCCTCACTTGTCCGCCACTCTTACCCCTCCCGTACTGCCGGCCCTCAACGAAACCTGTGTCCCAATCCGTGCGTATAAAATTTTGCCGAAGCCTCCCCTCCCGTCGTCATAGTCGGTGCGGTACTCATCCCTCACTTGTCCGCCACTCTTACCCCTCCCGTACTGCCGGCCCTCAATGAAACCTGTGTCCCAATCCGTGCGTATAATCCTATCGTCGAGACGCGTGCCGTTCACATAACGTATGGCATTAGTGGCCGACTCTCGGGACAGGTATTCAACGAAACAGAAACCGCACGGAGTCTTCACATTGCGGTCCAAACCGATGATCACTCTTACAATTGGTCCGCATTTGCCGAACAACTCGTAGATCTGCTCTTCACGGGTATAGAAGGAGAGGTTTCCTATGTATAGAGTCGTCGTCTTCGCCAACAGCCCCTCCTGTTCTTCACGCGAACCCTAATCACAGACAATGAGTGGTCAGACATGAGATAATCACCTCAAGAGGCACTCACTTTGAACTGTTGGTCTCTATAAGAGCTCATCTCAGCCGCCGTTTTGGGTCTTTGGAAGCGAGCCATCACTCAATGCACAGACAGACCACCACTGGATGTGTTGGATGTGTTTGGATGCCTTCAAGTGATGTCTAAATGTCTTAATCTGAGGACCGCTTTGTTTGTCAACTGTTTTGTGAAAAGCAATCAAAACATTATCAATGCACAGACAGACCACCACTGGATGTGTTGGATGTGTTTGGATGCCTTCAAGTGATGTCTAAATGTCTTAATCTGAGGACCGCTTTGTTTGTCAACTATTTTGTGAAAAGCAATCAAAACATTAAATACTTTACTCATAAATAACATGTCGTTTAAATCACACAATATATGAATAGCCCTCGCAATGAGAATTTAAACTGAATTAAGAAATTAATTTAATTTCTAATTAATAAAAAATAAATTTTATATATTTTTGTATCCGATTTCTAAAATATTTAATGCAAAAAATTAAAAATTAATTTATCAATATTAAGATAAATACAATTAATATGACAAATTGGAAAAATTATGTGTAATTTTTCAAAAGTTTTCAACAGTGCTTGTCTCATAGTATAATTAAATATGTTTAATAACCATGGTTAATCATAATCACGATGGTCAACTTATAAGCTACTACAAAGCTTTGTCATTTATACAGTGTTTTGCATTGGACTCATAATATCTTGTAATAAGTTTATGGTTTGCGGTTAAAACTTGTCAGACATTTCAAATACCACTGACTGTGTGTTAAATATGATTTCATTGATATATCAATTAATTATAAAAACAAATTTGAAACTTTGAAAATTATACAAAAATCTATGATACGATAAACTCGACACTATACAACTGTACTGTATAAAACTAAATTAACATTAATATCCGAAAGCTATTGATTTGAGTGTAAAAAGTGAATATTAATGGCAAATAATTTTTCGTTATAAATGGCATTTATTCGCTCAAAGGCTATTGTTTCGCAAATTATTTTTATCTCAATTTAAACAAGAGTTTAAAACTGAAGGCAAACGTCGTTTTTGATCACAATTTATTGATTTATTGTTATTTTGGGTTTAAAAAATTAGATTTTATTTTTATGCATACATTTTTCAAGGCATTGAAATGTTTAATACAATTACAAACAGCGAAACCCTTTGCTACCAATTATTAGGTTAAGGATCTATTCAGTTATTCTCATATTTTATATTATAATGTCTAGTGACTAACATTTAGTATTGAAAATATAGCCTTAAATTAGGTTTTAAGGGGTTTTTCGATGAAAATGATAATTCAATACAATGTAGCAGAATATTCCCATAATATTCTTACAATGTATTAGAAATGATAACAAACTACAGAGTATACAGTATATGAAATAACAATTTGAAAATTAGTTCTACTTTTAGCCCTTATATAAAAAATACGATAACTTATTGTCAATAAGTTTGATAAACTAATACAGTAGATAATATACTTGTTATTTACAGAATCGCTAGTGATTAATCATAATTTCAAATTTTTCTAAACCGGATCACATCAATAATAATTGAATGAACAACAAACAAGCTATTAATATAAATGAGTTCATATGACTATTTTTTATGCCAATAAGTGACTCGCTATTAATAAGTTGGTATCATTTGGACGGGTTTGGCTGTCAATGACATATCGTGTGATAGACTGTCCTCCAAATCATTGAGTGACCCAACAGTTGTTGAACTTTTCATACAAAAAGCTATTTTTAACTCTTTTTAAACACGCTTTGAATGCATTCATAATTTCTTTGTATCTAACTTTGAGTAGACATTGAAATAATTTATGAAAAAATAAAAACCAAATCCTGTGGGGCAGAGAGAGAGAGAGAGAGAGAGAGAGAGAGAGAGAGAGAGAGAGACTTTTCAGCTGTTTTTTCCTCCAATACTTTATATGCAATTAATTGATAGACAAATCGTTGCGAGAAATCAGTGCAACGAAAAAAATGTGAACCAAATTCTGGGCAAAAGATCTTTTGATACAAATCTTGACGTAAGAAATGCATTCACAATACGAAACGTGAATTTCAGATTCACTTTTAATGGTCTGACCTTCAAATTCAAATTAAAAAACTCAAATAACATGCAAAACCTGTTTGCGTTGGAAACATGTATACCAATGGGTGATAAGGGCTGACAGTTTAGGTTAACATTTGAATTTAATTTAATAATTTATTTCTCAAATCCGTAACTCATTGTAAGCCTACGTTCCGGTGCTCTGATCACACATCCCATGCCATTGTCATCATAAGACTCTTACGGACACCTGAACGGTATGTAAGCTATTATTACACATTTTCACATCCCTTTCCCCTCAATATTCTTAAATTTCTTAAATTAACCCTAAGTTTAAAAATATTGTGTCAAATGTATTGCCAATAATAACAAAGGGGTTAAACACCACTCGCTTATCCAGCCATAAGTCTTGAGACTTGATGTGGTGGTGCTTGGCATGTATGGCCACCCGTTCCCCCTATCACTTAGCCCTCCATCACTCCAAAGTGTATGGAAAACCAGTTTATATCGAGAATATAGTGAACAATGTTTTCAAATGTGTTCTCCAGAGGTAGGGGTAGTGGTGTTGACAGCACAGGGAGCTCAGGCATACACGTGATATTATGCATGGGTTGCACAGGTATGTTGTGCGCCAGTGCTAGCGCTATAGCAATAGGCAATGCATTGATCGCAGACTCCCAGTGCTCTTACAGCTCCTGTATGTGTGAACTCAGACTCTCTGTACTCCGACTCCAAACCAATTGAGAGAAGAGTTTTTGAAATAAGAAATCGATTTTTCAATTCATTTCAGTCCTTAAGATACCAGTGATTGAGTGGATGCTGAGGACAGACATCTTAACACATATGCCATCCCTGTGTTGAGCGAAGAGTTTGCAGAGATAGACGACTGACAGACAATGACTTCTTCGGTGGTCCTACAGCTGAGTCCGAGTGGTGGCCATCACTCGGAGACCATCGATGATAACCTCAATAACAACAACTCCATTGGTTTCCATCCGATGGTCATCAACGGCAAGAAGTGTCGCTTCCATCTCAACACCACATCCCAGTCCATCATTTGGGAACAGGAGTTGACCAACACTTACAACAACAGTGAGTCTTCATTTCATTTGATCCCACTTTTCCTATCCATTGGCGTATTCATTGAGTCCATTATCTCATGTCTACCTCCCATTCCCTCACATTATTTGCCATCAATTGTCACACGAGTATTGATTGTGTCATACATTTGGATGCAATCATTAGTATATTATCTCATTTAATGACAGAATATTCTTTGTCTCCATTGATGCCAGTATTGCATCAAAAGTGATGATACAATGAGTGATACTATTGTCACTAATATTTGTGTGATTGTATTGATCACACAAACCACTCATTAAATTACATTATAAGCTATAAATTCAATTAAAGTCAATATTATCTATAATTATATTGTGATTGAATGCAAATTAACAACCTATTTGTGATGACTATAAGTGAACCTCAAATGCAAATCAGTATTAATTTCTGCAGAATATTCCTATAATTGCAATCATTATATCCTAAACTACCTGTAAATATACCAGTGATTCATATACTAAATCATATCAGTAGTGATGAGTACTTTTGTTTCAGACGTCAATCAAATACTTTCAGATAATAAGTTATAACAATAATTATAATTTTCAAACATTTAATGCTAAGGTCTTAATGAATGAATTGTATTACAATTTATTACAATATGCCCTAAGATAGGGTATGATCAGTACATATGATAACAGAGCTGACCATAAATGAGCTAATGGTGTGATGGAAGTGTGTGCAGAGGAGGTGGGAGGGGAAAGGTATGGTGTGATATGTTATATAATGTGGTTTTTGTTTTATTGCCATTTTTACGATAAGAGACACGGAATTACATATAGAGATATGATAAGAGTTATACATTTTGATTGCCAACACAATTGCCGCTTATATTAAGTCTATAATTCGTGCCATTGTTTGGTTGAGACACTGATTCAGAAGCGGAAGAATAAAACTGTGGATTCAATTGAATTCACAATCGACTCGCAAAAAAACTTTCGACAAAAACTTGTCTCACAATTCTTGGATCGAGAAATTGATTGAATTTTTGTTGCTTTGCTTTTGTATTCAATCAATTCAATCGGATTCGAGTAATAGTAATAAAAATAGAGAGAAATAAAATGCAATATAAAAAATAATTTTTGATTCAATTTTAATTGTCGATAAGGAAAGAGATGCCGGAATTGTGTGGTTTGTAATACTGTTGTCAATACATTATGTATTATAATTTACACAATATATTCCAGTATTTGAGTGGATATACAAAGTATATTATATATTTTTGTTGAATGCATTATAATATTTGCAGTAATTTTCACATTTTTCTCGCTCTCTTCCAATTAGTTTACGTTTGGTTTCCGTGTTTTTTATTATTATTATTATTTAATTCGCAAAAATACTCCAAAACTCGTTAAACTCATAGAAAATGGTTTGGATTTTTATATGGGAACGAGTTTTTTGAGCCATTGACAACATGTTAGTACATGTTTTACCCAAGTCTTGTGCAATACTTGTCTTATGATTTTCGGTGGATTTGTAGTTTGAATGTTAATTTAAAATTTAAGTCTAAGTTGACCTTTTAATTAGCCATATATTTTGTTTATGAGATAATCTGATTATTTATTTATTTATTTAGATTTACGATTACTACTGTATTTGTACCTATTGTATTAACCCTGTGTCTAATCGTTGTATTAATAGTATGAGATTTACTGATAGCGTGCATATTTGAATGCTAAGGTAAATAGACTCCGGTTATATTAAAAATAGCACCTTTTATGACACTTTTCAAAGCCATACATACTTTCGCTTTTATACTTGAATTTTAAAGCCGACCCGCAGTTAAGATAAGACTTAATCAAATAAATCCTTATTTTCTTTGCTTTTAGAAGTCATTAATTAATTGATTGGATTTTATGCTTAAATTTTTTCGTTTTGTCCACAATTTATGACTTAATGTTTGAAAATTATGATCAATTTTTTCCTACCGATTGGAAATTGGTTTACGAGTGACACAAATAAGTGAACAGTTTTTTTGTTGCAATGAATGCATAAAAGTAATGATAATTTTACTATTTTTCTATTTAATCATTTTTGTTGTAATAATTCGTGAAAAAGCATTTTTTAGCTAATATTGTGAAACCAATAACCTCTCTCTTTCTGTCTGTCTGTCTCTCTCTCTCTCTCTCTCTCTCTCTATTTTTATTACTATTACTCGAATCCGATTGAATTGATTGAATACAAAAGACTCTCTCTCTCTCTCTCTCTCTCTCTCTCTCTGTCTCTCTCTCTCTCCCCTCCCTCTTCGCTAATGTTTTAGCGAAAAGCGAAGAATTTTTAATGAATTCCTTTAATATGAAATCACATAATAATTGAATGTTTTATATCTGGTTATTGAGGACAGCATTTAATATAGCATTAAGAATAGCATTGCATACGAAAAATAAACATAATTTTCTCACATTTATTATTATATGCAATACTATTAGGCAATACATGGATATCAACAACAATAAGAGTACTAATTTAATAACAATCATTGTTTTGTATTGAGTAACAGGTATTCCTATAATTATAATTCATATTTTGCATATCTGTGCAGAATATACAGTAACTGTACGTTAATGAGAGGCCTATGTATACCTGTTGTGTCAGTACGTGTTGTTTGTATAATACGTGTGTCACAAGTGGTGCCTTTAAAATGCATTTACTTTTACTTTTCATTTTCTACTTTCAGTCTCTGTATTGATGTCTTGAATAAAATAATAATTATTATTACGAGAAAATAGGTCACAGAAAACATTAGTGAGAGTGAGAGAGCCGGCAGTGAAAGTCGGTCTCTCAATAGGGGAATGGGATGTGCTTTTGGGGTCAGTGAAAGTAAATTGTGTTTTGATTGTATGGTAGACTAGTAGTGACCAAAACACTGGTGTGTTTCGCAGTCGTGTTTTAAAATTATAGTCTATAATATAGATATAAAATGAAGTTTTAGGATATTTCTCGACAATGACTAAAATATTTGGTGTATTTTGTCTTAGTTTTTGAAGTGAAGGTCTCCTCCGCACACGTGAAGGAAAATAGTGAACAGAAATTCATTTTCAGACAAAATCATATTTTTCTTACTTTTTGTTAGTTATATTTGAAATGCTTAGGGAAATACACTATACGTAGGCTTTTATATTATACAGTATTTCATTTGAATAAACATGTAATATAAAATATAGCATGTAATTTTGATAATTTTTATGCTGGATCATTCACATCATATTTAACAAATTACACATACAGTACTATATTACTGTGGTATTATTTAGTTTAATTGTTTAAATTGACTTAATGTCTGACTATTGCCAGTGATATAAAAACTAACCAAACGTTTTCATTGCAATTACGTAAGCACTTATTGATTGAAATATTTAAACCTAAGATTCTTTTCATTGGTATAAGTTAGCAATTAGAAAATGTCACGTTTGCTGTGAAAAACGATATGATAACCGCAAATATTGTATAATAATGGTGCAGCACTTTATCACACCATTGAATTCATTTATCATATCAAATTAGTGAGAGTGAGAGAGCCGGCAGTGAAAGTCGGTCTCTCAATAGGGGAATGGGATGTGCTTTTGGGGTCAGTGAAAGTAAATTGTGTTTTGATTGTATGGTAGACTAGTAGTGACCAAAACACTAGTGTGTTTCGTATTTTAAAATTATAGATATAAAATGAAATTTTAGGATATTTCTCGACAATGACTAAAATATTTGGTGTGTTTTGTCTTAGTTTTTGAAGTGAAGGTCTCCTCCGCACACGTGAAGGAAAATAGTGAACAGAAATTCATTTTCAGACAAAATGATATTTTTCTTACTTTTTGTTAGTTATATTTGAAATTCTTAGGGAAATACACTATACGTAGGCTTTTATATTATATTTCATTTGAATAAACATGTAATGTAAAATATAGCATGTAATTTTGATAATTTTTATGCTGGATCATTCACATCATATTTAACAAATTGCACATACAGTATATTACTGTGGTATTATTTAGTTTAATTGTTTAAATTGACTTAATGTCGGACTATTGCCATATAAAAACTAAAACCCAAATGTTTTCATTGCAATTACGTAAGCACTTATTGATTGAAATATTTAAACCTAAGATTTGTTTTCATTGGTATAAGTTAGCAATTAGAAAATGTCACGTTTGCTGTGAAAAACGATATGATAACCGCAAATATTGTATAATAATGGTGCAGCACTTTATCACACCATTGAATTCATTTATCATATCATTGTCTTATATGTTATCTATTTTATTACCACTAAATTCCCTTAATACTAATCTTTGAATAAAATTCAGTTTAAATGTTTGATTAGATATGGTTTACGTTTTTTTGCTGCAATATTTCGACAATATATAGAAATATTAGTATTTTAAAGGATTTATATTTTTATTTTGAGAATATATTTTTTATATTTTTTTATCCATTAATTAATCTGACAATTAAAATGCAATTAGAAAACTTAATAACTTATTATTATTTGTCATTCATTTGCGATTCAAAGCCCCAAAAGGCTATTTATATTTTTCATACTTCATAAATATTATTCTTATACTTACTATACATACAGTATGAATGAGAAATAACATGATTATTCACTGTTATTCTCAATGTTTTTCAAATAAATTATATTTTTCTCTCACTCTTAAAGTCAATGCCATTAATATAAGTATAATTCTATTATTAGTATAACAGACAGAATTTGAAGTAAGAAAAACAATTATCGAGAAAAATATGTTTTAATAATAATAAATACGATAACAAAGAGTTTAGCCATCGTTTAGTGAATAATTGACACTCAATTAACATTGAGATCCAGTTTTTGATTACTAATTATTGGCCTTCACTGCACACTATATTCCGTATGCATTTGCAAACTAATACATAAAAAACTTATTATTATACTAAACACACAAAACAACAAAACTATAACAATATTTATCGAAATACTGGGCAATTGTTTTGCGGCCCTATTATAATTGAATTTAATTATTAGTTTTGTTGTTGCGTTTGGAGTGAGAGATAATAAAATGAATTTATTGCCAAAAACTGAATGCAATTCTTGCAATCAAACTGATTTGCGGCCATTCCTTGAATACATGAATTTTTATGAAACCCTTTGTGAATACGTATCGAGTGTTTCTCAATGCGATTCATTGACATTGCATTGCGTTTTGAATATCGGCTTAACATATGCCGTGAGAAGGACTAACCATTTAGGAAGTGGTTTAAGTGTTATTGAAAATACACACTAAATATGTGTAAATCTATTGTCACTCAATGGTTTAAATATAAGCCCTAATACTCGTGTATTAATTAAGGGTCAATTTTTTGTTGCTAATTACGAGCCGATAACTAGACTATCGGTGGCATCAGTCGACTGTCCCGAGACTCCGGTCGATAAATATTTGCTGAGTATTAAATGCGATTCATTGACATTGCATTGCGTTTTGAATATCGGCTTAACATATGCCGTGAGAAGGACTAACCATTTAGGAAGTGGTTTAAGTGTTATTGAAAATACACACTAAATATGTGTAAATCTATTAAATACTTCGGGATTATGAGCACATAATTAATTCCCAGTTAAAAAACAACGATTAATGCTCGGCTATTGATCTGATAGCCACCGTAGTCAGCTGACAGGGCTCTGAGGCCAGCTATTTATAAACGACTCATAAAAGAGTTTGGTTTACATTTGATATGAGATTAGTTTAGATTTGTGTAGTTTTTTGTTGTTTTTTACTTTATATTAACCGATACTCCCATTTAATAAACAAATAGGAAGTCTCTCTCTCTCTCTTTCTCTCTCTCTCTCTCTGTCCTAAACCTGTTTAGAGTACATCTTATTATATGTTGATTAGAAACGATGCCAACAAATTGATATCTAGGTCTTCGGTGGCCGACAACTCATTCATTGACAGACTTTGCCATCAATTTGTTACTCACATAACATAACTACTGGCGCTGTTTGACTGACCTGACCCTTACAGCTCATGTACTATCAGCTCCTATTCCGTCAGAGAAATCTTATTTTTGATTCGCAAACCTATTTAAACCTTAATTTATAATATCAAAATGAATGCATACTTTGATTTTTAAATGTTTTTGAGATTAAGATTTTAGAGGAGAGAGAGAGAGAGAGAGAGAGAGAAAGAGAGAGAGATGTGATATAATTTAGTTTAGATTGACATGAAGTATGAGTTAATACAATAGAAATTGAAAGCAATGTTAATTATACAAAATGTTATCAACCCTTCGAGTTGTTAAGAGTTTCAAGAAGTGTAACAAATGTATGGAAACCTAATATTAAGCCATAAGTGACAAATCATAAATGGGAAAGTAAACTAAAACTCCAGACTACAGTTCCCGTTAATGTTACGGTCGAGTGATTTATGAAAAACTAATTAAAATATTACTCAAGGAAATAGACAGTTGAGTATATGTCTTATTATATAAACAACTTAATTAGGCGTTTAATATAACATAAATCTCCACACAACTCTGTATGTTACGTTTGTTAATGACAATCTCAATACGTCTATTTATAACTAATGATTATTTTGTTTTCAAATTGGGTTCAATTTATTATATGTGTAATTATGTTTTGTTTCACTGTATTGAAATGTATATCTCTTATAATAATACAATGAATATGTATATCGTTTTTGTTCACTAATGTAATTGTTTTGCCAATTTGTAACTACAATTGATGCATATAATGATTATTTGCAAAATATGAAAATCTTTTTTGTGTCTAATTATTTGTATTCATTTAACATTTGTGTTAACATACGAATAAAATTTATTTGCTATTGAGGTTTACTTTCATATCTGTATCGTTAGTATTACATAAAACAAATATAAAAATAGTCAAAGAATCCAATGACATAATCCCTGTGACATTGGTTGCGACCCATAAGTACATCAAACTCTCTCTCTCTCTCTCTCTCCCTCTCTCTCCCTCTCTCTCTCTCTCTCTCGCAAGTTATCAGAGTTTTAATTACATTTATAATATAAGCCATAAATCAATGACTGAATCCTTGATTACACTTTCATTCAGAGACTGATTTGACTGACAATTAAGTGAACAGTATTTTGAAATACTTTTAAGTACTTTGAGACCAAACCTTTAATTAATTCACCAAATATTGAATAACTCAATGAATCACTAGTTTTATGGTAATTTGATAATTATTAAATACTTTTTATTGCTAATTTATATCTTTAATTACATTCAATTTAACTTTTATTGAGTTCAATATTTATAGCCACTACTGAATGTACTTAAAGTGCATATATAGTAGACATTAAAATAAAATAAAATCAACTATCACATGTGATATAAGGGTTCAAGAATTAAATAAACGTATAATTTAATAAATCATATAAATAGCACAATAGTAGCAAAAATTCCCATAATTTTGTATAAATAACAAAAAACTATTGCTTCACAAACATGAGGAAAATGTAGTGAAAAAATCATTTTATTTTGTTATCACTGACTATGGATTGTGTAATGAATTCCCATAAATGTTTGGAAACACAAGATTTTGAGTTTAAGTTGTCATACGAATAATAAAACTAATATTTTGCAAAATGTGTTCAAAAACCTACAAAAAAATAAATCCTAAAATGAATATTTCTTACGAAAAAAGATTTTTTTTAGAAAAATATTATTCAATACACAATGTGTCGAAAGCCTTGACGCTAAAGCAATATTAAGTTATTATTGTATTTGATTTGTGAAAATATAAATTTATTTATTTATTTATCTATGAATTCCATTATAATATAGAGTACACTATTGGCAGCGAATTGTATTCAAATGAATGCACAAAAATTATGTTCAAAGCTGTTTAAACATACAATTTATTTGTTTTGATTACTTCCCAAATACACACAGTTTTCAGCGTATAGGTGCGAAAACCAAATAAATAATAGCTTTCGAGGCTATGAATTAGAATAACAACTAAAAAAGTTTTTTAAAGTTTCATGTAAAACTTTTTGTTTGAAAATATTTTTGGCAATTTCAATGCGAGTATGTATTTTTCAGTTTTATAGCAATAAATGTTATGTTTCTCAATGCAAAGTGCATTTAATCCACAAAATCTTATTTCCATTAAATGTTTTTCAAACCTTCAAACAATGAAAAAGCTTTTTGGTCTCTCACCTGGAAATGCATTTTCTCTCACTATTTGTTTATTTTATTAAAATGTTTATTCAATTATTGAAATCACATTAAATACACGACAATTAACAACATATTTATGCAATACTCATGTAATCCATTAATTGGTTTTTAAGAAATATTTAATACTTATAAGTATATTATGAAAGCGAGCATTACTTCAGACTTATTAACAAACTTTTTCACAACGAATAGCATATAAATGACTGGAAAAGTGAGGTTTCAATTAAAATCTATACATCACTTAACCATCAATTAGTGGTTACGTAATCCGCAAACACTATAAGCACTCAATTATACGCCAAAAACATATATTTATTTTATTAATGCAATTATGCAACCACTTGACTAATACTTATCTCACGTTCCCAATGGGCACCTGTAGCACGGACTACCATTCCCATATCGCAAGTGATATCTGTGAGGACATGCTTTTGCGCCAAACCTCAGACAAAGAAATTGTTCTGCGATTGTGTCCTAAACGACGACCTCATCGACGACCAGAATATCGATGACCAGAAGGTGACACTCGTTAGGCTGTATTACGCCATAGCTGTTGGCAGACACGGATGGAAAGTGGAGTTCCTGTCGCTCCAGACTGACACTAATGCTCACGGGGACAGTGCCCTGTTCAATTATATTAGACGCATTCGTGATATTATAGATGGTTAGTTTGAAAACAAAATTTCATTCAATGGTATGTCTGTATGTCTGAGAAAAAACTTAAATTTTATTAAAAAGGCTATAAAAGACCGAAACGTCTATTGGTTTTCGTGAACCCATTCGGTGGTCACCGGAAGGCCCGTAAGATATATGAGAACCGAGTGCTACCGGTGTTGAAGTTGGCGTCCATTGACGTGGACTGCATTGTGACCGAACGGGCCAATCACGCCCGAGACATCCTACTGGACCCCACTGTGCGGGTCACCTCATACGACGGAGTGGTGTGCGTGGGAGGGGACGGTATGTTTGCCGAACTACTAAACGGCGTACTCATACGTACCCAACGGGACAATGGGATCAACTGGTCGTCGATCGACAGTACCCTAAAACCCCCCAAAATCCCGTTTGGAGTCATACCCGCCGGCTCTACGGACGCCGTGGCCTACGCCACCACTGGAGTCAACTGTCCCGTCACCTCTACGGTGGCCATTGTGTTGGGCCGTCGACTCAATATAGACGTCAGTGCTGTCCACCACAGGGGCGAAGACAAACTGATCCGATACTCGACTTCATTCCTGGGTTACGGCTATTTCGGTGACACTATTGCCGATAGTGAGGCCAACAGATGGATGGGTCCCAAGAGGTACGACTGGGCGGGCGTTAAGAAGTTTATTAGTGTAGCTGAGATAAGGCCTCTTTAGTTCAATACATAGCTTGGGTCGCTACCCAGCGGGTTTCTGTGGTGGCAAACACAGTTGTTCATTACTCAAAAACTAAATGTAAACAAAAGACATTAATTAAACTGATTATGTGTCCGACAGCTGTGAACAGTGCGCTAAAGCGGCCCTTAAGGTCAGGGATCAGCTCAATGAGGACGACGCCCCCGGTATGAGTGACCCCTTTCCCCATTTGAATAGTTGTTAATTGATTGCCTTTTTCTACGCCAACCGATAGCCTGTATATCAATTAGAGGCAAATTCCTGGCGATAAATGCGGCGACACTGACATGTAGGTGTCGTATGACTAAGAATGGAATCTCTCCCGGTGCCCATTTGGGTAACGGGTGCACCGATCTGATCCTCGTGTCCCAGTGCTCTCGACTCGATTATCTCAAATACCTGCTCCGCACTGCCCTTTCATCCAAAAGTCCGGTCAGTAAAGCTCTCTCTCTCTCTGTCTCTCTCTCTCTCTCTCTCACTCACTCTCTCATACCAATTATAATACATATGCACCTGTAGTTTGATCTGAACTTCGTGGACGTCTATCGTGTCCGTGAGTTTGAGTTCAACCCAATCGTTGGGCCCAACAATCGCCACAACACTGCGCCCACCCGTCAGCCCCTGTCTGCGAGTGTGTGGAACTGCGACGGAGAGGTCGTGGACGAGGCGGCCATACATGTCAAAGTGCACTGTCAGCTCATATCGCTGTTTGCCACCGGCATCGAGAGTCAGAGATAATCAACTGGACGCCGACACAGCTCCAGATGTCACCACCGGAACCGATGAACAAACTTTTCAACTCTTAATTCAGTTTTTTAATTGCAATACGTTTTACACTTGTTTTGCATTTTATGCCACCCATTCCTACCCCACCCCCTATTTGTTGATAATTATATTATTTGTTAGTACAGACACTGTTGTTGAGATGCAGGCGCTACGCATAGGCACCTGACCTACAATCGGACATATCGTTACCGAGAAATAATGATATTTTGTATCAAACTTTTTAATTATTTTATTTGTTTTTTATAATTTCATTATAATATCCAACACTTCATTTTAAACACACATATATTGCTCAACAGTTTTGGCGTTTAAAACAAATTACAACACATTTGTACCGAAATATAAAATATATTTAATTATAAAATACAAAAACAAAAGCTCGAAATATTAAAAAAAACTCACATTACATTTGTATAACTTTTTACTTATATATTTTTATTAACTGTTTATATAATAAAAATGTTGTGCAAAATGAATGGCAACAAACAATCATTCAATTCATCGATTAATATATGATTTTTAAGCACAAAAATCAATGTAATTTCAAATGCAATCGACAACTCGTATACATTAGACTTATATTGAATTAGAAGTTAATAACAAAACGGGAATACATTATACAGTATATTACGGACTCATACGAAACCGGCGGGCGGTATGGCAGCGAACGTCTCCTTATAATTAGCCGGGAATACCGACAAAAACTTATATCTGTCGCCCATATCCTTCAGAAGCATATCGACGCCGCTCTGGAGGTCAGCCTTTTGATCGTCACTCGCCTGACCCATCAGTTGCTGTCGTTTATCACAAGATATACCAAACAGTCAATCAATACAACCAACAAAACACTAATAATAACCGAAAAACACTTACAGAAAGCCTTAACTCAATGCCGAGACTCTTAAGGAAGTGCTGTTGAGTGACTGTCCCGAATACAGTCGCCTTGTCTTTGATGTGTTTCTTGAGGTAACCGAAGTCCACATCAGCGGTCAGGTCGGCAGTGCCCGGCTCTCGCAGGGGGTCCCACATCTGGTGGTCTCTGAAGGCCCGGAATGTGTCTCTATTGGCGTTCGGGTCGTCGTAACCGTAATCGCAGACCAGAAAACATCCTTTCGTTCAACAAAACAATAGTTAATCACAAAAACCATTCATTTGTCTAATAATTGAATCAATTGATGAGAAAAATGCCTAATATTTGTGTAGAAAATCATTAAAATGTTTTTAAAAAAGTGATAAAAACCTGGATTCTTGCGACTGAACCGCGAGATGACCTGATCCATGATGAGTGCCGCCTGTGGACACACCTCCAGATTGTCTGACTGTATGTTGGCGCCATCGATGAACATCTTGGAGGCGGGGGTGGCGTTGTTGGCGATAATGTAACGCAATTCGCCGTTTGGGTCGCAATCGATGAGCACTTCCCGCCACTGACCGGACGGCGATTTCTGAGTCACAACACATATCGCACATCAGACACACCATACATATCAACACAAACTCTCATAATTACCACAAACTTGTGAACGGGAAGGGCGTCGAGAAACTCGTGCGCGATGTAGGCCGAGAAGCCCGGCTTAGAGCCGATCTGATCCATGGATCGGTACCACGTGATGGGCAGTCCTGTCTGCGTGAGGGCCGAGTGTCGGAAGTCCTTTTCGCTCTCATTCCGCTCAATGAGACTAACGGTGCCGCATATGTTCTGCTCCTGGATTTGCGTCAAATGTGGCGACAATTCAATCAAATGCAAAGAAGTCACGTCTTTTGAGTGCGAGAACTGCGACAACACGCGGCCCACGTCTGCCGCCAACGTTCCCCTCCCGGGGCCCAACTCCACCACTCGTAATGGTTTGGGACACCCGTACCGCTGCCACTCATTCAACAGCCATACGGCGATCAACTGTACGTACGGACCCGTCGTATGCATTGATCGATAGATAAGGGTTGACACCAATTGATACCATCAATAGTATGACAATCATTGCGGTCATAATCAACGGATCCAACGAATAGCAATCGTACCATCAATGAGCACAGGGAGGGAACAGACGTGTAATAAGACAAAAGACAGTCAATGGTTAGGCAATCATTTGATGGCAACGACACAAACCTCGCCGAAGATCTGCGATATCTCTGGCGATGTCGTGAAGTGTCCTTTGGCTCCAAAGACATCGTCCTTCATGTAGAAGCCGGAGATGGGATGCGTTAACACCATTTGCTGGTATTCGGCGACAGTCATGGGACCCGTCGCTGTGATCTTCTGCACCATTTCCCTCCTCAGCGACAGTTTCTTCTGTTTTATGTCAGCGGCGGTCGCGGTGTCTGTCTGACGACCGATTGGACTCTGTTTTGATGCCATAATCGACAGACATCTCTGCATCTGGTGTTGCGGTCGACGGCAACTGTGGTAAGCATTTGTGGTCAACAGTTGTCTCGCAGTCTTTGTGGCAACGGATCCTATCCTCAGTTTAGTGGCCATAAGGAAGCTGTTCATGACTTCTTCGGCGGTGATATCTGGCCACCGTTAATGTGATTGTCGTCGCGATTGGTATGACTGGATCTGATGGCAAACTTGTCGACCAAATCAAGTGATGTTTGTTTCACTGGTTTTTGTTTTCCAAACACTAATCAAAACAATAAAAATGTTTTGTTTATGCAGTCATTCAGGGGTTTGAGCCATTCATATATGGCGTTACGTTTCATAACACAAATAAAACCCTTTGACTGTAAATGAAATTCATTATGAATAAGAAAGTACCATTTTAATTCAGATAATTTTTTTAATTTAAAAATAAATATTTAAAATTAATATATTTATTATCAGGGCAATTTAATTTATTAGTTTGATTAAATTTTACGTTAAATTTTTGAACACAAAAGGGACACCCCTTTCATAGCAAATCCCCACTCATGTTGTATCTGTTGTATGTGTAGCCAATATGCCCCCAACCCATGTAATGTGTACGTCATGTATGAGTGGAGTATAATGTTGTAAATAAAAGTTACGTGACTTTGAACACGTGATAAGCATTGCATACAATGCGTGCATATATTGTATGAAAATGAATCCTTTGCTACATATTTGCACA